CCGCGGGTGCCCCCCCGGAGGGGCCCTTGTTGGTGGGGGGCTTTGTCATTGAGTTTTTCCCCCCCCCCCCCCCCCGCCGCCGCCGCCGCCGCCGCGGGCTTTCCTCCGGATAACCGATCTCGGCGACCCCCGCCACCGCCGCTTCCCCCGGACTTCTTCCTCCTTCTGCCCGTCGCCGCCGGGCCGCTCCCCATGGTGCCGAGCACTCTCGAGAAGGGCGAGGGCGAGGAGTCACGACCACCACCGCCGCCGCCGCCGCGGCTTGAGTCCATCCCGCGACTGCTTCTGCGCCGCGACGAGCTAGCCGTCGCCGGTGACGTCGCCGCCGTCGCCCCGCTACTACCATCTCGCAGCCGCAAGGGGGAATCCGACTGATTCAAGAGGGGTACCTCCATCGGCCCGACCGCCGCCGGGGGCTTCCCGCTACCGCCGCCGCCGCTGCGCCAGCCGCCCTGGGAGCGGGAGGACCCGGACAGGCCCCCCGAGCTGTAGTTGTCCGCGGGAAACATGGCACCCTCGTAGGTGTAGCCGTGGCCGCTGTCACCGACGATGCCGCCGCCAACCAAGCCGCCGTCGAAGTTACCGCCAAAGTCGCTGCCGCCGCGGCCGCCGCTCCTCCAGCCGAGCCCCGACGACGACGAAAAGCGTCCACCCGCGCCGAAGCCACCGCCCCCGCCCCCGCCGCCCCCGCCGTGAACGCTGCCGCCCTCGCTGCCGTAGGCGGCGAGCTTCTCCCGTCTCCGCCACCGGTACAGGGCGCGGAGGCCCGCCACCGCCAGGCCCACGGCGGCGAGGCCGACCGCGAGGTAGACGATGTACGCGCGGTCGGGGCCCCCCGGCGGCTGCTCAGGGCGCGGCGGGAGCGCCGGCGAGTACCGCACGAGACGCGCCGTCATGCCGCCGACGTGACCGCTCCCGTGCTGCTTCTTCTTGCTGCCGCCGCTGCTTCTTCTTGCCGCCCGCTCCTCCTCCTCCTCCTCCTCCGCCTCCTCAGCCACCGACGTTACGTTCAGCGGCAGGCGGAGGTAGGCCGAGGAGTTGTGGTACAGGAAGGCGTTTTCCTGGCCGGCGAGGCAGTCCCCGAGGCCGAGCATGAGGGACACCCCGCCCTCCCCGGCCCACCCGTCGCCACCGCCGCCGTTGGAGGGGCAGGCCGGTCCCGAGTAGGAGGAGTTACCGCTGGCCGCCGCGGCCGCGAGGCTCCTCACGCACTCCCCCGTGTCTCGGTAGTACTCCGCTATCTGATGGCGACGAAGGGGACGGGACGTTGGGAGGTGAAAGGCAGGCACCATCAACCACACCACCGACGGACGAGGTCAACCGGGGGTTAAGGCGGGGCAGCATGTTATTCCTGGCGCTTTGGTGCAGCACGAGCGCGATTGAATGCGTAGTCGTTCATTGTCTTTCTCCATCTAGAACGACCGTCCGTGCTGGACTGACTACTGCTCCTGTTTTCACTACAGAACCCCCCGACAGACGACAGCAAAAATAGCTGCTGCATGTAAACCTGGACGCGCACATCTGACGAGTGCTTACGACAACATCCACAAACAGGGACCAATCACCGCCCACGGCCCACCCCGCAACGGACCCTCATCGCTCCGCTGCTCGCCCCGAGGACGGTTCCCGGACCGGTCGGGTCATTCTTGCGACATCCTCACCTCTTCGTTGCCGTCGGCGTGGACAAGTTCCGCCGCATCGACACCGCCTTCAGGGAAGAGGCACATGACCGTCCGCTTAGGCTTGATGACCACCTCCTGGTCGAAAATCACGCCGTTCCTGTGACGAGCAGTGAGCGCATGTGCGCGCGCGGGAGAGAGAGAAAGAGAAAGAGAGAGAGAGAGAGAGAGAGAGAGAGAGAGAGATTAACAAGACGATGAAAGCAAAACAGAAAAGTAAAAAGAAGAGGAAGGCCCAAGTTGTAAAAGGAGCAGCACCGTCGACGTGAACGTCCGGGGTCAAGCGGAGCCTACGAGCGACAGCACCAAACGCAACGCCAAACAGACTCAAAGAATACACACCCCCCTTCCTGTGGGAACAATGTTCCCGTCCTCTCGAGGACGCGTGGCGGTCAGTAGTCAAACAAGGCAAACATGAGTAGCCCTCCCCCCCCCCCCCCCCCCCGTCCGCGGCGGCTCACTTCGCCCAGACGATCGAAGGCCGCCCACACGAAGTCGTACGAATCCGCGGAGCCCCTGTGGGCGAAGTCTCCGTCTCCCCCCCTGTCATTGCTGCCGCCGCAGGCCGACAGCGGCTGGAAGGAGGGTTTTTTTTCCCGGTAGGTGCTGGACCACCCTGCATCGCATTTGTTCGTTATCCGCGAAGAGAACGTAGAAGCACGTGTCATAGCACGTACAAGAGGAGACGAGAGAAGACAGTTGCTTGGAACAGGGCTCGAGAGCCACCCTGGTGCAATCGGGAACTAGAGGGGGAAAGCCTGTGCTATATAGCGACGCATCGCGTGTGTCTGATCTATCACTCTACACAAATGGGCACGGCAACCCCGCTCTCCCGCGCCCCGTTGAAACATCATATTCAAGGAAATGATAAACGGTGCGCCTTTATTACCCACAGACGCTCCCCCGCCCCCGGGTGTCCGGCGTTCCCACACAACGTAGATATATCTAGACGTTCTTACAACGAAACGAGCAACTCCAACCGAGCGAAAAAACACTCGCGCACCAGTGATGTCGTTGTAAAGAAGGCCCGTGATCTTGGCGATGTAGTTGGCGGAAATCCACCTCTTCTCGTCGAAGCCCGACGACACCCGCACGACCGCGTCGTTGTTCCACGTCACCGGCGTAGTGCCGTTACCGCCGTCCCCAAGCCCTCGCCGCGCGCCCCCCCCACCGCCCTCCTCCTCCTCCTCCTCGCCAATGCCCTCGACCCACCTCACCCCCCCGCCGCCGACATCCGC